ATAGCTAGCTTGAGTCATAGTTATTTACATAAAAGTCAGGGAAGTTTACCATTACTGGCGAGGAAAAATTAAATTGAATTAATTTCCGAGTCAAGTAGTATCACTTTACTGGCGAGTTTTGTATTAGGTACATTGTCCCGAAATTTTCTTTTTAATACAAAATTTGGGCCTGAGTGGTGCAGTAGCGTGGAAGGACGACTGCGGTACTAAGGGCACCTGGTTCTAATCCGGGTTCGGCCAAAAATCCGCGTCCAAAAATAAAATAAAATGATGTCAGGTGAGTCATTATAGACATTAACAATGTCTATGCCAATGTAATATACGAGGCGACAGGAAAAGGAATCTGATAAAGTGACAGGCTACAGGAAAAGTACTCGGTAAAGTGTTACTGCCATGAGAGAGTAAGTTCGGTTAGCATAATATTTTTCAACATTAAAGGTTGCCATTTGAACTTCTGCACAAACTCACAAAATGTATGGGTTCGAATTTAATATCAAATAGTGATATTCTCATTTATTATTATTATTATGGTCGGTGTTTCTTGCGAGAACTCAGGTCTAGCCTGGTTAACTAACCGCACGGATTAAAATCAAGTAACGATTAGTGTCTGTGTCTGGTGAAGTTATGTAGGGTCCTAAAAAAAAGAAAAAAAAAGAAAGAAAGAAAAAAAGAAAGAAATAGAAAGAAAAGAGAAAAGAAAAAAAGAAAAGAAAATTAAAAAAGAAGAAAAAAAGAAAAGCATTAGCATTTTTTAACAAAATATTACAAAAATTCTGGATTCTTTTTGCATTTCTATCGTAAAATTTTGCACAATATTTGTAAAGTATTACTTTAAATAAGAAAAATGATTCGCAAAATGAATGACAAAGAGTCCTATACCAGAAAGTCACACACCGCAAGACTTGCAAGAAATTTGCAAGGCAAGACAAGACAAGAAGTGAGCAAGTTCTTGCAAAAATTTGCAAGACAAGACAAGAAAGGGCTATTTCTTGTCTTGTCTTGTCTTGCGAGAATCACTAAGCTCATAGCAAATTTATAATCTTGCGGTGTCTGTCCGTCTGTCCGATTACAATAAAATTTAGTAGATTTGTAGATCGGAGTTCGTGAATTGGCAATGTAGCCCAAAAAATAAGGAAGGCCCTTTTGACATCTCGCCACTTGGAATAAAAGCAAATTTAACGCCAGTTTCAAAATTTGGTTTTGCGCATGCGCAGTGCCAACTTTCTTATTTATGGAGGCATTCAAATTAAATTTGATACATGGCCACTTGGAATAAAAGCAAATTTAACGCCAGTTTCAAAATTTGGTTTTGCGCATGCGCAGTGCCAACTTTCTTATTTATGGAGGCATTCAAATGAAATTTGATACATGGCCACTTGGAATAAAAGCAAATTTAACGCCAGTTTCAAAATTTGGTTTTGCGCATGCGCAGTGCCAACTTTCTTATTTATGGAGGCATTCAAATGAAATTTGATACATAGCCACTTGGAATAAAAGCAAATATAACGTCCGTTTCAAAATTTAGTTTGGCGCATGCGCAGATCCAACTTTCTTATTTATGGAGGGATTTAAATGAAATTTGATACATAGCCACTTGGAATAAAAGCAAATGTAGCGCCATTTTCCAAATTTGGTTTTGTGTAGGATGTGTAGTGCCAACTTTCTTATTTATGGAAGAAATTGCAAGGGTTGTGCACAATTTGTACTTGTTTTATATCTCTTATACTTTCGATGATATAAGACATTCAAAGAAATGACCAATTTTAGTTTTTTTTTGTATTTACGTCAAACCTGTTCGACATTTTGAATTTCCACAAGGAAATTTTAAATAAGCACGTAAAACTGGAAAACAATGGCTATTTAATCAATTCTCTATCTTTGGTAATAAGAAAGTTACCCATGCAATCCCACGCAATCTGGGACACACTGAGGGAATAGAGGGAAATTATTTATTAATTTTTTCTTGGAAAAGAAAAAAACATTTTTGCTCAGTGATCCTACTTATGCTCCATTTACACAGAATATACAAAGGACCGGTCGCTTATATGTCAGTTAAACACATCTGATCTGATTTTAACGGGAACATGAATCCTTGTCGATCCCATACGGATCACCACTTCAATGTTGCCACTTTAGTAAATGCATTGTTGGCTGCCTAAGTAATCTTCGGAATTGCTTTTGTTAATGATGGCACGTATGTGGATCAAATGGGTTTTTTTAACGTTAACAGAGAAATAAGTAAATATATTGCGCTCAAACTAACAACTTTATTCAACAAACATTAGCATGTCTTTTGTATTTGTACAAACGGCATATAATCATCCAAGAGCATTAAATCACATACACAAATTTACTGTCTATCTATAGTGATGTATTATTAATTCTACAACGAACACCACAATTGATAAGACTACACCAAAGATAAATACCATGAAAACGGCGTTAAGGTTCCAAAAAGATAACGCAACAACTTCGTCTGACTGAACAAACTCCCTTTTCTTGATATCTGCATATAGTCGCCAGTCGTTATCCAGTTTATCGTACAACCCACCCTCGGTCAGTCTCTGAATGTTTATGTCAAGACTATTGATTAGGTAAGGGGTGTCATAAGTCGAAAACACGTTCATAACTGGTGGTAAAACAATATTTTCCAAGAAATAATCGGGAGTGGGTAACCGTAAGGTCAATTCCAGTACACGCAATACGTTGAGTAAAATAAGCACAGAAAAATTTCGATGAATCGCCCATGATCTCAGCAAAATTGGACCAACGTCATTATGAAAATCTACCTCACGACGCAACCTTAAAATTTTGTAACTGAGATTTACACCCCCGTATGACATAACGGCCTGATTAGACAGGAATTCAACACGAACAAGAGTATTTGTTTCAAATAGCTCCTGTGTGCTACGAATGGTTTTACCAATTGGCGGCGATGTTAACAGGCGGATTAGATTTGAGACATATGCTGTTTGTATATGGACACTATATACTCGTACAATATAACATATGACTAAGAATCTTAGTGTTGAAGATTTGGGCATGCGACTGACGCTGCTACACACTGTAATACTCACAGCATTCAGAATGATTCCTTCGCCTTAGATGAGTCAAGAACATACCAAGCAATTGTAAAGAATAAAAAAGCTACAACAGCTAATATCCAAACCTCCCTCTCGAAGGTATGCCCCAGAGCTTCCCACTGTGAGGTTTATTTATTAACGATCCTCGAGATCTTTTATAATTTTGTATTACTGTCTGTCTGTCCGTGTGTGTGTCCGTCCGTCTGTCTGTCCATGTGCAAGATTATTCCGTGTGAATAAGGGTTATTTAGGGTTTTATATAGGTTATACGGTTATCATTTCCAATGTCTCCGATGGTTGTAAGGATTGCGAAATCTGTGATAAAAGGAAAACTGATACCGATCAAAAAATTTGTTTTGCGCATGCGCAGTCGTTTTTTTTATTTGTTAAGATATTTAGATGAAATTTTGTATGTAGGCACCTCGAATAAAAGTAAAACTAGTGCCGAATCAAAAAAATTTGTTTTACGCATGCAAACTAATGCTGATTCAAAAGTTCGTTTTACAAGCCATGCTGATCTGGTGGGGCAGAATCAACCCCTTAAAGTTATTGTAAAAATAATGTATGTGTGAAGATCTCGAGGATCGTTCGGAATTCACTTGTATCGCGATTTTTATTTATTTTTTAGACGATCGATTTCGACATATTCGTCATATTCAGGCCGTAGATAAAATATTACAATAAGAATCATTATAGGTAATTTAATACAGTGAAAATTGTAAACTGATAAGGTTATGGTAGAGGTAGGTATACAGGGTGATTCCTATAGTACCTGCCACCGTTTGGGAGCGTGTAGGTGGTGCGTAGGGGAGTATTTTGATATAGGACACTTGGGGTCGGAAATCTAAAATAAGGGTTCCAGAGCCAAATTTACCTTCTGGAATTTCGCGCCTGTAGGTAGGCAACCCAACCGGCCGGCGGTGCACACGGAGCGATCTCAGGCGGCGATGTGTGGCTGACACTTGATCAGAATTTTGTTTAAACCAAGATATATCTTGGTTTAAACCCACGAAATCCCGTCTGCAACGACGCGTATCAAGTGAATAAACACTATGGCACGTTTTACTAACACGGAATACGCGGACATGCACTTCATGTACGGATTGGCAAATGGTAACGCACGAGCTGCACGACGAGCGTACGCTGAGCGGTATCCAAACCGTCAGTTACCCTGCAGACAGGTCTTTCAAGAAGTTCACTTCCGACTGTGCGAGACAAGGCAATTGCAGGTAAGCTGACGGAGGCTTAACTTTACACACAGATTCGTGATGCACATCGATACTTGGGTCATTTAAGCACCCATTTCGAAAAGTTTGTTTGTTTACACCGACCTCCTCCTATTTCGCAGCCCACTAGCGCCCGTGATCGCGATCGCCCGTTGGTAAATGCCTTAGAGGAGGATGTGTTGAAACGTTTCGAGGCAAACCCGCGTACTAGCACTCGACTTGTAGCAGATCAGGCGGGTTGTAGTCAACACACAGTGTGGAACATCGCCAACAACAACAACTTTCACCCCTATAAGTTTAAGAAAGTGCAAGAGTTACGGCCGGGTGACCATGAAAGGAGGCTGGAATTCTGCAACTTAGTCGTCCAGGAGGAAGAAGCTAATCCGAACTTTCTGAGGAGCGTGCTAGTTACTGACGAGAAAGGATTCTCAAGAGAGGGGACCTTCAATCTTCGTAACAGCCACTACTGGGCGGAGCACAATCCTCATGAAACGTTTACGCGAGGATACCAGGACAAGTTTTCTTTAAAAGTTTGGGCTGGCATCCTGGGGGACAACCTACTGGGGCCTTACATCCTCCCTCCGCGTCTAAATGCCCATAATTACCTGATTTTCCTGCGCGAGGTGCTACCAGAACTTTTAATGGATGTTCCAGTGAACTTGTACTGGGACCACTGGTTCCAGCACGATGGGTGCCCTGCTCACTACGGGCGGCAGGTGAGGGAACACTTGGACCAAACCTATCATGCGTATATCAAATTAAATCGCATGCATTGAAATTCGTATATATGCACTTTAAGAACAAACGTTATTCACGTATGGGATTAAAATAGATACCCGTTGCGACATTACCTATGGAAATGAAATTATTCGTAAGGTATGGCATAAAAATTAAATCGAAGTTTAAGATGTAAAGGGTTTTCGCTATAAAAAGCGTTGCACGTCATTGATATTTGATGACATCAACAATACACGGCATTGCCAAATATTTCTAAGGTATGCTGATATATTAATCTTTTATTAAGGAAACACTTTTAGGTTATGTTTCTACCATCCAGATTCCAGAGGAACAAGAAAATTCAGAGATCATTTTTTGGGCTCCCTGTGTGAAACCAACCTACTGTGCATCAATAAAACCCATTCCTACTGTGCTGTGACGGGTTCAAGGAAAGTGCAGTCCACTAAGTGTAGTACTATTAGCATTTTGTTTATAACGTATCGCTGCCGTTGTGAGCAGAAAGATGAGGAATGTCGGCATTGCGGCATTATGTAAATGTTTCGGTAGTTATAAACCATTGCATAGGCCATCAGCAAATAAATATCAAGTTAATGCTTGCTTGAAATCTTGACTGATTTTACGTTATTTGACCAACTCTTGCTGTAGTGGAATTTGAGACTAGTAAGTTCAACCGAGACAAAAACACAAGAAATTTTATTGAACTAAGTACATAAAATGATAATTAACATAAACTGATATGATCGTAAAAAGGTGAAAGATACTTTTCAGACTACGTAACATTCCATTTTGTTAACATAAAACAAAATAAATTTTAATACACAGTTCTCGTGACAGGTAATTGCAGTTTTATTTATTGTCCAGTTAATCGTCATCACTCAACTATCATTTTCACCCATTTTCTTCTGTTGATGACGTGCAACGCTATTTATAGCGAAAATTGCTGTTTCTATTCTGAGAAGGCCGTATTCTGTGATGACAAGTACTGAAGTGTCACTTTTCGTCCCGCCGGGATTAAATTTGGACGAAAATCCCGGAAGGATGAAATTACTAACGAGGCAATTTCAGTAGGTTGTCCCACATTTTGTATGCGGCACCACTTCTTAAATGTATCGTACTGCTGCTCATATACTTTTTTGGATTTCGGTGGTATCAATTCTTTACCTAGTTTTTTGGCTGCTTTTTATCAATATCAAATACACCTTTGTCACCCACCACCAAAATTATGACACTATAACACGCACGCTAACTATGCGCCATCTATTGAATGTTCTCCAAACTAATTATATTTGTACTCAGTTGTTCCCGTTTACGTTTCCCTTCTAAGTTTTTATAGCAATGACAGTTTCCAAATTATTTTTGTTACCATAGCCACAGAATAATATAATATAATAATAAGGCCGTATTCTGTGACCATAGCATATAATCGACGCAACGTTCCTATGGTAACTTGTTAAGCAGCGACTTTTTGAAAGAACGCGTTCTCTAACTTCATACATATTAAGTGTTTCAGTTTCAGAAGTACGAAAAATGTCGTATATACCTTGCGACTGAAGTAGTGGTCTTAATCCCTTAGGTAAATTATGGCCCTCCCTTCGGTCGGGCCATAAACTTTACCTTCGGGATTAAAAGTACCACTTCAGAAGCACCCCCCAAAATTCTAAAAAGAATAAGTGCTTACACATAGACAAGAAGTGGATAAATGAAATGAATTCGATGTTCCGGTTGTCTTAGCGTCAGGGTTGCCAACGTTTACTTATACTTACGTATCGCTTAAATATCCCCCCCCCCCCCCCAAAAAGGGGTAGGTACTGAGATAACTGTCACCTCCCAAAGCAAATATCTGATTGCGCCAATGGGTATATAATATACTATTTCAAACTTTGAAGGCCCCTGGCAAAGCGTTAGCCTCGCCACTCCTCAGCCTGCATTTCTGTGTTTGGGTATTATTGGAGAAGTGGACAAGTTTTCAGCGTGCCTCAAATACCTACCCAAAAATGTCTACCAGCTCTCAGACTAAAATCAGAGGCGTGTGTGAGAGTATGGGTTTTGCAGGATGAGGTATGTCAATGTCATTATGTGTTTAGGGTTTTTGGGGCGTGTTTTGGTAAAGGCAGTGGCTTAGCAACCGATGCGCAACTGTGCGATTTCCCATTGCACTTTGACCTTCAGACGTGTGTACAAGGTCGCTTTTTGGAGCGGAGATAATGACATTGAAGGTAGTATCACACTTGTACACTATTGTGGCGCAAATTTTCAATATTGCGCAATTAAATGGCGCATGGTGTTCACATTGAACCCAAAAATTGCGAATAATTTGCGACATTTAGTGTGGCGCAATATCAAAATGTGGATGCAATTTTTTTAAGTTGCGAGGATGTTCACATTTCTTCTCTACGTCGGTGGGAGTAGTGCGAGTGGTCGCTGTTTAGTTTATCTTCACAAACAAATTTGTAAATACTAATATGTATTCTGAAGACGCATGGGATGCGTAACTTTAGGTACTTTTGCTAATAAGAAAAAAACAACAAAGGAAGTGTAGGAAAAGAATATGGGTACGTGAGTGGATAAAAAACGAGAACAAAGCGGTGTCGTCAACAACTTATTGCTGGAATATTGTTGCGGTACGGGGTGGAGGGGGGGGACTAGTTTTATCCTTCATGGTCCTCTAATGAAAGGTCTCAGCGAAAGGAATTAATTTCTACCACCCATAGCCTTCCTACTCGACCTCTTATCGTGACCGGGTACATTCCCTTATACCTCAAGAACGAATTGTGGGAAGAGGGTACTCACAAAGGGAGATTGAGACGTCTGCAAGAAATATATCCATTGGTGATTTCAAAACAAAAGCTATTTCGGTTTAAAAAAATGTATACTTGTTTACGGATGTCGGCTTCGGATTTTGATTACTTATTAGAAAAAGTAACAGAAACGTATTTTCCGAAGTCCATTTTGCTTGATTTTGCTTTGATTTTATTACGCGAGAAGCCATATCATCTGCTATGCAGTAGTACACGTGCCAGACTAAACGCAAATTGCGCCACTTTATATAACCGACAAAACGGTCCACCTTGTTGTAATGACATTTTATTGCATCTGGGTAGTCACATCACACGTATCAATTTCTGAAATATATATGCAAGTTAGGCAGCTTAAAAGATGGCGCAAGTTTTGCACGTTGCAGCGCAGTTCACACGCGGAAATAACCAAGTTGCGCAATTTTAAATAGGTATTGCGCAATAGAAAAGTGTACAAATGTGAAACTACCTATAAGGTCGTTTATTTTAACTTTTCTTTTCTTCAATTATCAAGTTTGTATTTACGCAATTCCGCTCCAAGGAATTATACCAATGTTAATTTTCTTAAATCTTCACTACCTTATTGATGCATGAGTGATTTGATTTTGGGTGGTGTTATAAATGTATTCTCTTTCGGAAATTGCAACCCGATAAGTAACGATCTTGGATCGGAATTTTGGCTTCTCAAGCCATCGTCATTTCAATTACCGAGTGGATTAACTCGGGTTCGTTGTTTCTTTTCTTTGTTAAAATGCTTATGATATGATATGATATGATTCTATCATTCTATGGGTAACTTGTATTTTCATTATCGACGCCATTTTGTCATAATAATTCTACATTTCGGGATTTTTTTACAGCCGTAACTTTTTGGGAATTTAATTAATTTTAAATAAATCATTGTATTATCTTGTTACCGGAAATTGCGACTATTGTATTTTATCGCTTTCCTTCAATACTTTCCAGTTTCATACGAAGAAGCTTTAATCATTTAAATCAGGGTGGCGCTCAACTTTGTGGTAAGTGGCGAGGAAGGTTTTCCAGACCGAACTAACAACTGTGAAGTATCTCCTGCCCCGTTATCTTTTATCATGCCTCTGCTCTCTTAACTCACGTCACATAACACAAATTCTACTTGTTGTCCCACAATCGGCCCTCAAAGAAGCCTCTGAACCGTGCGAAAGTATTGGTACGACAGAAATTCAAGTTAAGCCACCCACATTCGATGGAAAAGAACCGTGGTCCATGGTCCCGGAAACAGTTTGAGGACGCTGTCGTTACAAACAAGTAAGACAGGGGAAGAGAAGGCAACTTTCCTGATTGTTGCGTGGACGTAGATGCGTTGGATATTTTACTCGCGTTCATACTGCAAAACATTCGTATAGAAGAAAAGAACGAATACTTATATAGAAAAAAAATGATGATGACTTGCCGGTGCTAAATGGTTTTCTACCTTAGCTATGAAAAGCTAAGTTGGTCTGGATCCTGAACTTCACGAGAAGACGGCCTTTAGCATAGGATCGGGTTTATTTCAATTTCCGGTCATGCATTTTGGTTTATGTAACGCCCCCGCGACGTTTGAGAGATTAATGGAACTGATTTTGGGGAGGTTTATCGTGGAAAACGTATTTGGGCGACGTAATTGCAATTCGTCGAACGTTCGAAGAACACCTTAAGAATCTCGAAGACGTGTTTATGAGGTTGCGCTGTGTTAACCTTCAACTTCATACAAAGAAGTGCAACCTTTGCCAAAAAACAGTGAAATATCTTGGTCATCTGGTTTCGGAGAATGGATCCCGACAAAGTTCATCCAAGAATGGCCCCAGATAAAGATAAACACGAAATACGAAGTTTCTTGGGCCTGTGCACGTACTACCGGCGATTTGTTAGTGGATTTGTCGATATTGCAAAGCCGTTCACTGAGTCAACAGAGGAACACCGAGATATCAAATGCGATGATGGATGTATGCGCGCTTTTGAAGATCTTGAACAAACTTTAGTTACGGCTCGTGTGGTCAGCTATCCTAGAAGAGAAGGGGAATTCGCGTTAGATACAGATGCTAGCAATGTTTTGGGTGCTGTACTGTCTCAAATCATTGAACTAATTTTTCACTCAACGCTCAAATGCAGGATGAGCACGAGAGAGTCTTCGGACATTCCAATAAAGTTTTTTCTAAACCGGAACGTAATTTACTGTGTCACTCCGAAGAGAACTACTAGCTGTCCGCAAGTCGATCGAACATTCCCATAAGTATGTATATGACCAGAAGGTTCTTGTAAGGACCGAGGTTTTCCTGTGACGAGTAGTGTTCATATATTATGTCGATTTGAAAACTCCGCAGTTAGAAAAATAAGACACATCTGTCCAAAGTACTCGACTGATAAAACTGTTAATTTCGAAATTCTTACGGATAAACCACCTACAAAATGTGACCTGGAACAATAATGCATCAATGGTAATACGTTGTGTGTGTACCGCGAAGTGTCTTGGAATGTGTTTAACTGGACAATGGCATGACATTTTTTCGGAGGGGACATTTTGTAGGTATGTAAGAATGGATAATAGCATAGTCAATAAGTGATGTCAAAATAAAAGTCCAAATGTTTCTGGACGTACATACTTATATAAAATTTTGGAGGTTGTTGAAACGCCCAAACCCCTCCTCCTATGAGTGCGCCCCGTATATTTTGAACATCTGATATAATTATTTTTATTGTTTTGTTGCCTCGAATAGATTTTGTTTCTTTCTTTAAAACTCATCACAGTCTACTTGATTAAAACCGTTGATTCAATCTTAAGCTATTGAAAAGAGAATTAAAAATGCTTGTAAGTAATCTAAAAATCCAATATTGTGCCTATTTAACTTTAGGAAGTTGGTAAATGTTCCTCAAAAGTAGCCATCTTGAATTTTTTTGAATGCTCTCGCGTAGGAATTTGCGCGTTCCACAAGGTTGCCGGCTCACTTCTACGTGATTGGTTGTAGGTTTGTGACGTATTTAGACTGAAGCGTTTCAAATTCGGACTAAAAACGCAGCCGTTCAATAATTTATTTTGGGTTTATTTTACTCGCAAATAAAAATTGAGGATACACGGGTCTTTTTATGTTTGATGTACTTTCTAGATCAGAAATGAAAAATGAATCCGGCATGCTGCCATTCTAAATTAAGCGTATCAAAAACAGTGACTTTTATATTACACTTTTTTTGTATCTCGTATACTTTCAAGACATTCAAGGAATTGACCGATTTTAGTTTTTTTGAAATTGCGTCCAACCTATTCGACATTTTAAACAAGCAACTTTTAAATAAGCGTCTAAAACTACAAAACGTTGGCCATTTAAGCAATTCTCTTTAATAATAAGAAAGTTACCCATGCAATCCTTCGCGATCTGGGACACGCTGTATATTAACAAATATTTATTAATAATCAAGACACACTGTATAATTTCTTCAAGTAGTTCGGATGACCACGACGACTTCGACGTATGAATGATGTAGTTCCACAATACACTTTTTGCGTAGTTCAAAATAAAAAATATTGACATGAAAATAAACGTCATAAATTTCCTATTAGATAAATTCCCAAAAGAGATTTACTTTCATTGCATGCTTTTTGTGAAGTGAGTCATCACAAAAGTATTCGTAATTAAACGTTATTCTGGTTGGTGCTATACATGATGTTACTCACACACTAAACAAAAACAGTCTTCCATTCCAATTACAAATAGTTAAGAAAAATGCATAAAACTAATTATGGAACCATATCTAGCAATTCGGACGATGCACAGTTTCAAGGTACTTCCAACTCCTCCGAATTCAATAGCCTTTGCGATAATATCGTTACAAATATTTACACAATTAATACGGGTTGGAAAACGCTTGAACAAGCGCTTAAAACTATAGGAACTAGTCGAGACAATCAGGGAGTTCGAGATAAAATGTAAGTGTAATCGCTGGGCCTTTACGACCACTATTTAATGATTAATTGCAGCCATGTTTCCCAACTTAGCACGAACCAAATTATATCGATCACACCAAAGGACTTAAACCGATTAAAGATGATAATAAAAAAGGGGGACAAGCAAAAAGAATTTCAAATTAATAAACTCGCCGATAACTTTACGGAAGCGATGGGCAAATATCATTCGATGCAAAAGGTAATGTACGAGGATGTACCTACAATGGTCACATTAGTTTTTTTGTACTCGAACAGGATGCTCTCTAAACCATTCCAAAGTTCTCAATTTTGAAAATGTATGATACCTCGCAAAAATATGGGATGCTGTATCATAAGATTCACTGAAAATTCGAACATCAGAGTTCGAGCACAAAAAAAATCTAGGTGTGGCCTGCCCCTTTATAATTTAGTGCTGGAAAATTTGTAACTACACTATAAACATTTTAGTTAGTCGCAAATAAAATGAAGGCGAACCTCCTGATGGTGCACAGTCCAGAAACCTCTTCTGTCGAAGAGGCCGGTAGCCAATCCGAACAACTTCAACTATCAAAACAGCTAGCGTTCGAGCAAGATCTACTAGTAGACCGAGAATCACGTATTAGACAAATTGAATCAGACGTATTAGACGTTAACCAAATTATGAGGGAATTAAGTGCGTTAGTTCACGAACAACGTGAGCATGTCGATACAATTGAGAACAGTATTGATCATGCAGTAGGTAACGTTGAGGAGGGTACCGAACAGTTACTTAAGGCCTCCAGATATAGCAGAAAGTACAGGATAAAATTGTGTATATTAGTTTTAATAGCAGTTGTTATTGTTTCAGCTTTAATAGGCATTATAGTTGCCTCGTTAAAGAAATAAAATTTTGTATGTGATGTATTTTACTAATTAATATGCCCATTATATTTATATTTCCGTACAGTTTTATGTATAAGCGCTTAGGCGGTATAGGCATCTTTTGTTTGTATTTTTGTGTCTAATTTCGAATTTCTATATTCTTTAATTGTAGGTACCTACCTAATTAGTAGACTTTTTATGTGGTAACATTTTTAAAGAGAATTGTAAATATTTTCTATTTTCAAATCATTGTTGAAAATCTATTATAACAATGATAGTTTACACCACTATGTAATTGATTTGTCTATAATTTGCAAATTGTTAAAAACGTGCTTTTTGCGTATGAAATATAGTTATTAAAATATAGAAAATGCCGTTTTTTACAACTTATTCAAAAATCAATATTCTCAACCTCAAGCAAATAATATGAGTGATGGTATTATTTAAACTCTGGTGCTATCTTAATTTAGTCCTTCAACTCCGGACTTGAGGCCTAGAGCATAGCATTATCCACTGAGAGGTTCCACCCTGTATATACAACTTACGACGATGCACACATTTTTGTGAGTTGGCAACCACGCAATTTTTAGGAGGGGAAAGCAATTTGCGCCATCTAGCAAGCACGAAAGGGGGTTACGTTTAGCCATATCACAGACAACATATACATATATGTTGTCTGTGGCCATATATATAAGCGTTTAGCATCCTGCATCATGTCTTGAATGGCGGTCGTGAACGCGTCGCTCCATAAATGTTTGTTGTTATTTTGTGTTATTTAATGCAGGTAGTAATTTTTGCATTTCTTTATATCGTATTTGTGTTTTGTATGCCACATATTTTATTTTCAATTTTTCTTTTTGAAATTTACTTGGTTTATAACCGCAATGCAGAATGACATGTTTAATACCGTTAGTGTTTGTAATTGTTTACGTTTTGGGTGTAATGTTGGCTTAATTTATGTTTATTGATGTTGATTACTTGGTCTTGTCCCTGAAATAACATTCATATAAATTTTCATTTTATTTTAATACTTATGTGGAAATTACCGATTCGTTTGATGTATGTACTGACTTGTTGTTTGTTACTAACAATTTTCTCCGTGAATGAAGCAATCACGGGGGTGGTAAAAAACTGTAGTCAAAATTGAGCTACGACACCTAATTCCGTGATTGTCTTCGACATTCAACTGTAGGCTCGAAACCCCGAAACCAGGGGCGGGTTACCTATATCTTGCAGCAGCGGGATTACGCTAATCAAAGCTCTTCAGTTTAGAATCTATGTGCGATAAATGAGTGGCGATTCAATAATTTCCGCATATCTTGTTTTTACACGAACTTATCTTAATTTATAAGTTCGTGTGTTTTTTGTTAAATGTGCCTACAAGGCCATGTAATTTTGCATCTTGCTTTATTGCACCAAAGATGAGTCACATCCTGTGTATTTCATTCTTTCTTATAGCGTTTTCAATTGGCAAAACTCGTGCTGCACGAGTGCAATTTTTACGTTCTATTGGTAATTTTAGGGCAATTTTCTGTGTTCCATTGGCAAATGTGATGCAACAATTACGCACTAAATGCAATGTTTGACGCACGAGGTCGGAGAGCTCGTGGAGCAAATTTTCAAAATAAAAGTGCGCCAATTTGAATTTGTTTCTTGCGTTGGAGAGTTTTTTGTTGTCATCTAGCGATAGCGAAGATGATGAACTAGCCATATAACTTCTACTTTACAAAAAGTTGCATTTACTCTTTAAAGTTCACGCCAAAAATTGGTTCTTTACAGGAATTTCAAATTTATATTCCTCATTGTTTATCATAAATAATAGTGAAATCGTTTCAGTCATTTTTTAGAATACAGATTTGTCGATTACCTAAATCATTGTATAAATACAAATCTAAAATGAGGTTATGGACAAATGACAGCAAATATTTACGAATATTTATGTTCCATTGAGAGCAATTTTCACATGGATTTCTTCAGTTTCTCGTGCAACACTCGTGCAGTACGAGTTTTGCCAATCGAAAACGCTATTAGAATCTTGGTGCCTGCTTACCTAACCCATAATTCCCAAAACTTGATTTTAACCTATATTATGTTACTTGATTACTACTTAAAGTTTACCTGCTACTTTTTGTGATGTTATAATTTTATGTTAAGCATTCACATCATTACAAGCAATTAATTTTACAACACAATTTGATATTAATTTGACGCTGGTTTTTTTATTGGTAAGTTCTTTTTTTTTCCCAGCCTATTTCTATTTTTATTCAGTGAACTATATCATTTTCAAAATTTATTTTTGCAATGTAATTTATTTTGACTTCAATTTTCGAGCTTATACAATCATAATAATCACGATAATTATTAAACAAACTTTCTACAATTTCAGTGTTTTATTTTACGTTCCTTCCCTACTGTGCTTCAGGTCAAAGCGTTGTTTACAACTAACGTAAGGGGGCCTTGCCTTAGATCTTTTATCACTTGCCACTTTTCAAATTTAAGCGGGATCTTACTTCATCTCACGTGTGGGATGGCTTGAGTGACGTTGAGGGGTCGGGCAACCCTAGTCAGGGAGGTAGTACAAAGGGCCCGAATTTGAGGCCTAAGTACGCGTGGGCCCTGTTCACCCTCTTATCGTAATCCAAAATCTGTGCAAGAGCAATAATCAAATACTGATTTGATAAGCTGATTTTTTAGCGTTTTCATAATTATGGAGATAATTATTCATATTCAAATCATCTTTTCTTAATACAGTTTGCCGTACTATTAAGCAACCTCAACATAAGATTCAAACATTTTTTGATCAATTAAACATATAGTAAAGCCAATCTGGAGACACACACTGTATATACCTAGGTATATATCCCTCACAAGGGACATAGTGTATGCGGAGGTTGTTTCTTACTTCCTCTCTATAGCTACTGATGGCGCTGTAGCTTAAACAGGCCAAGCGTTATAAGTACTTTGTTTAATTTTGCCTGACGTGTTTTGGGGTAAAAGGTCGCATATATACTTACCTACTTTATGACTGGATTGACCACCATATGTGTATATTCAGTCCCCTCCTCACGCCTTCGATCTTTAGACCTCCCAAAACTACGCCCATTCATTGAGCGTCAGGCTCTGTTCTACGAATAGAATTCATTTCTTTTACCAGTTCATATCCCCAGAAAACCCATTTACCCGGAACCTCTACGTGCCAGCTCCCATGTCCCGAATAACAGCACCGGATTTGAATCAGCAGGAGGATCACATACATCCCATTAATTTTGCTTTACTCGCAACGTCCTGGTAATATACCCAATTAGAAAAGTGAGCCCGTATCCAAAACAATTACCCTGCACAAACTTGCACAACAAAATTTTGAAGAAACTTGCGCTCTTAATGTGATCACTCTGTTTATTTCGTCACAATCAATCAAAAAATTCTCAAATATTTAATTTCGTAGCGCCGTAGCGGGCTCCCGTTACACAATATACAAGGCCGCTCCTTTGTTTCGGCACTTTTAAATCGGAGAGCAACCATCCCCTCTTCAAGATTATCAATTCTGCTTAAGATCCAGATCCTAATACGCCTTGTCTCGTCTTAGGTTAGCGTACCCTCCGGATCTTGATAAATAAATACCATGTCACGTCTGGTGGGGACTTCGCCCCCTAGAGACTGATGGTATTACACGTACTAAACTTTACAGCGAGGTCATCTTAAATAATTTCCAAACTTAAAAGATCGAAGTATAATATAATACTCACTTAGGCATAGATGTTGATGTTGGAACTAACTATTAAACACGCTTCAATTTGCGTATATAACAAACGGTAAGTTTCTTGAAAAATCACCAGCATTCTCCAAAATTCTAGAAGGAGTTTCAAAGAAAGAATGCGTCGCCTATGCATTCCTTATCGTCGCGGCGATTAATATTTTTTCGACTTCATGGCACCTGCTGGCGCCCCGATGTCTGGGATACTCGCTATAATATTCTTAGATTCTTGAACCAAATTGTAACAAAGGCCTTCTTTTTTTCTATAAGGACTCACCCCCACCGCCTTCAGAGGCTTCAGCAGGAATCAATTGTATTTGCTACCTCGCCAATTTTCATTATCACTTGATTAATTATTCTAAAAAGCAAGATAGCCAGAGTAAGCAGTTATTACGGTTTTCCTTTCCCTTGTACATTTGTTTGATACATATTTATTCTAGATAATATCAAAAGTATATATAGACATTGAACGAAATATTTAAAAAAATTCTGTTTCGAGACATTGCATTACAATTAATTAGCTGTGCATTTTTTAAAAGCCCATAAATGCAACTTGAGAACTGCATTTCTTTTAGTTTTTTTTCTATTTCTGCTGGTTTCCGGGATCCCCATGCGGATCATCGTACTCGTACTACTACCAGTAGAATTATTTTCAAATAAATCGATAATTTGCGCCGTACTGGTTCATCATTGGTATAATAACCTAATAAATTATAGAATCTAGAATTAAACAAAGTGTTCATTTGTTTGCCCCTCAAATAGGC